GTACAGTTTCATGTGGAACCAACTGCCATCTGTGCCCCAGGCTTGCAAGGGGTACTGTAATGGCCAATGAACAGAGCCTCAAGGAGCACAGGCTGTACGAAGCTACCTCTAATCCCATTTTGGAAGCAGGCAGGGCATAAATTACAAAAAAATAAATCCAGCTGGAGGCTGAATGAGAACACAGTGAATGGAATGACAGYCCCTAAATGTTCAGAGTGAAGGAACTTCCGCAGACAAGCAAGAAACTGATTCCTAGGATAAGGGGAAACCTCTCTCCTTCACTTCCAAGTTGGGGAAAGCAATTATCAGGCAAGATTTTCTTTGAACTCTGTGAAAGTTTAACTGGGATAATAACTGGAATTAAGTACTAGAGAATCAAAGTGGAAAATGCTCTCCTCAGCCTGAAAATTATTGCACTTGCCCTGTGTGTTGGAGATAGAGGCCAGGATTTTAAATACGGTGTAGGAAGAAAAAAAAAATTGTTCACGAGACCCTATTCTTCAAGAAAAGAATTTGACTTTCTCGGTGTTGCTTTTGGTGGCATTTGCTTGTCAGACCTCCCACGAGTTGGGCTCTTCATGTTCTGATAGGATGGCTGCTGACCAGCTGTCACTTCGGCCAGAAACCACCCTGGCTCCTTATGAAATCTGCCAGCGGTGGTTAGAAGGGGAAGGCTGGGCTTTGGAGCCTCATCTTTATGCACTTTCTCTGCCAGGGCCATTAGGGGGACAGGAAAGTTTACTCAGCCCAGATCACCAACTGGGAACCCTACCAAGACTCTGTCCCAGCTGAAACAGTGCTTGAGTCTTATCCTCTGGGTGGTCACCAAGCACTAGGCCAGGCCAGAAGTTCTGCCTGCAGCCGCTGACCTGTGGGAACTTCAGAGCTCCAGGAACATGAAAGAATTTGGGAAAGCCATATATAAAGGGGAAGGAGAGGGTGGGGGAGGGGAAGGAGGGAGAAAGAGAGAGAGAGAGAAAGGATTAAGTAGGGATTATAATTTTAAATGTTTAAGTAAGTGGGGCTGCACTATATAATATTTAGGGATTCAGACTTTGGGGCAAAAGTATGTGAGTTTGAACCCTCATTCTGCCATTTTCCAGCTATGTGGCACTGGGCAAGTCATTTAATCCGCCTTTGCCTCAATTTTCTCAGCTGCAAAATGCGAATAATAATGGTCTGTACCTTTTAGGGTTACTTTGAGGCTTAAATGAGTTAACTTTTGTTAAGGGTTAAGGCAACACGCAGAACATAATCATCCATACATTAATGTTTGTTWAAAAAAAAATGGAGCTTTCCCTATGTCTAATTTTTCTTCCCCAGCAGCCAAATCAAGTTGAATGTAGATTCCTGATCTTTTTTTTCTGTTTCTTTCTTCTAGTAATTTTAGTCCTTAACACCTGTCATGCCACCCCAATCCCCACACTAGTTTCCTAGGGCAGCCATAGCAAATCATCACAGACTCTATAGCTTCAAACAACAGAAAGTTATTCTCTCACAGTTCTGGAGACCAGAAGTCCAAAATCAAGGTGTCGATGAGGCTGGTTTTAATGGACGCTCTGGGGACCTTCTGTCCCGTGTCTCTCTTTTAGCTTCCTGAGGTTCTGCCCAGGTCCTCTGCAGGTGTTGTGAGGATCTTTAAGTGGGAAGGGCATTCTCTCATTCACTGCAGGCCTCCCCACTCCCCATCCTCCACCTGGTTTCCTGGGTGGATCCCAAAGCATTTGAATTTGCAACCCCCACTAAGGGAGTTTTCTTTTCTTCCCCTGACCACCAAGCAAACACTGGCCCATCTTATTTCAAAACAGTCTAGTGAAGACTCAGCTCATTTTTTTTTTCTGGAAAATATGAATAGCTTCTATTCTATAAGCTCTAAGATATAATATATATCTCTATAGTCAGATATGGGAAGGGCTCCAACTCCTCTGGAGAACTCTACACCCCATTTTGCTTTACTTCTTGAAACCAGAAATCTTAGCCATCAACCTTCCCATCTCTGGAGAAGCCTCTATGGCCCCTGCTGGACATTCCCCAAGTTTGGCATTTTATGGGCATTTCTGCCATTTAAGGTTAGAGTTTTATTTTTTAATCATGTGGCTGGCCTAAGTCCTTGAACCCCACCCATTCACTTAAAAGGAGTGACCTTGTTTCTTTTGTTTCGTTCTCCATATCTCTCTTTCTCTAATCTCCTTGTGCAGTGATTAATTTCCCTAGAGGGACGCTAGGTGATTCCAACTGTCACCAGGACACACTTACAAGTACTTGACAATTTTTGGATCCTGCTTTGAACTCAATGGATTGATAATCTCAATTTACTTAAGTTTATCTTTTTAGTCTGACCTAAATCCCTCTCCCTGCTCTTCAGGCAAAGCTGGGGGATGGAGGCACAGACTTCCTCTAAGCTTTATGAAGAATATTCTGTAAGTTTTCTGTTTGGTTTTTGTACTTCAAATAACTCTTAAAAATCAATATTTTGATGACTGAAGTGTAAATGAATAAGAAACATGGAATAAGTTTTCCCTTCAATTACATGAACAGAAATCCTATGTGTTTTTATTGGAAATGAAAACCAAGTAACTGGGGGTATTCTCTGAGCTCCAGGTAAAGATGTTGCTCCTTCCTCTTTTTCTGGTCTTGAATTCTCCCTCATACGGAGAGTCCCATACCAAAAAGGGCTTTCTTTGTGCTTTTTACCTGTTTGGATTGCCATTGAACACTATTTTTCTTTTCTTTTTAAACTAAGGGTCTTGGAGTAGGTACAGACAAAAGCCTGCAGTCTCAGCCTTCCACAGGGGCAGTACCATTTGGGCTTTGATCAGTGGTAGCTCTTGGTGCTGCTGAATTGGGCCAGAAAACTAGGTTACAAATTAGTTGTGGCAATTTTCCTTCTTAATAAGGAAACAAAAATATTTGTGTCCCTGGAGTGGGCTCTTCTTCTTTTCCTCTTCTATCAGCTTTTGCTTTTATGTTGCTTATCACAACAACAAGTGAGCTGAGGCCGAACAATCAAGAGGGAGAAAGAAGACCGGCCTGGTGCTTTAACTGGAGTTTATCAATCATTAGACGGCAGGAGGGGGAGGTAGGGAATCAGCTAATGATATTCTGAAAGKCTGAGGCTGCCTTTCTAGCCTTTTCTTTCTTTTTTTTTTTCCAATTTTGTTTTCATTGCTGGTTATAATGCTTTTGGTATAATAATAAAAACATAATAATGTTCCATTAACATTTTTTCTTTATCCTTTTGGTGTCTAAAGCAATAATAGCAACAACAGATGGCTTGATCTACCACTAATAGCTTAAGGGATTACATTTCTTCTACACAGAGATATTTAGGTTTAAGGAACCAAAATAACACTTCAAAATCAGAGTATACGTTTCCCAAAACAGACAACCTCAAACCATTGATTGCTACATTTTTTTCTTCTGCTATACTTCTTTTCATATGTTCTATCATGATAATATTCAACTTTTTACATTACGAATTATGTCACAGTCRCCAAGTCTATAGATTATCTTTGTAGCTTATACTTTGGTTTAGTCAATTCTAGACTATCTAAAATTAGGATGGTGAATAGGTGTGGACTCTCTTTCCTACCCCAACTGACTGGTAGTGACTACTTAGAACTATGGTTCTAATCTCAGTGACTTGGGAGGCAGAGGAAGATTGCAAGTTCAAGGACAGGCTGGGCAAATTAGATCTTGCCTTAAAAAGAGCACCATTGGGGGCTGGGGATGTGGCTCAGCGGTAGCGCGCTCGCCTGGCATGCGTGCGGCCCGGGTTCGATCCTCAGCACCACATACCAACAAAGATGTTGTGTCCGCCGAGAACTAAAAAATAAATATTAAAATTTCTCTCTCTCTGTCTCTCCTCTCTCACTTTAAAAAAAAAAAAAAGAGCACCATTGGGTTTAACCCCCAGTACTGCCCCCCAAAAAAATCACCTGGGGAGCTTTTACTAATATCAATTAGCAAAAGCCAGGTCAATTTAAGAATCTCTAGTGGTTGGGCTCAGGCATGTTAAAAATCATCCTGGGTGATTTTGATGTGATATCAGGATTAAGAATCATTGATCTGAGAACACTGTCTCTTACACTTCAACAGGGATGGGGTCACCTGGAAAGCTTATTAAAAACAGGGATCCAACTAGAGGTATGAAAAGTTGTGCTCTATATGTGTAATAGGAATTGTAATGCATTCTGCTGTCATATATAACAAATTAGAATAAAAACTAGTAGGTCGAATGCTCTAGAAAAAAATGAACATGCCTGACAGAACAAATTAATAAACAAATACATCATTTTACTTTATTAAATTGAGAAAAAAAAAACAGGGATAGCCAGGCTCACCCCCAGGGTTTCTTCTCATGCACTAGGTCCAGTGTAGGTCTCAAAAATTTGCATTTCCAACAAGTTTCCTGGTGATGCCGATGCTGCTAGCTGAGGGTCCATGCTTTGACAACCATTGATGTGTCATGTTGAGGAACTTGAAGCTGAATTAAGATTCAGAGGACAAGAGGGCCATGATTAATTAGTCATGGCAGACATAGTCGCCCAAAGAAACAATTGTATTTGTTGCCATCTCTCTTGAAAAGCTCATCAGTAAATTGCCCTCAGTAACAATTTAGAAGCCAGGTACAGTGGCACACGCCTGTAATCCCAGCTACTCAGAAGGCTGAGGCAAGTTGGAGACTAGCTTCAGCAACTTAGCAAGACTCTGTCACATAATAAAATTCAAAAAGGACTAGGGATGTAGCTCAGTGGCAGAGTGCAATCCCCAATACAAAAAAGAAAAATATGTAGAAATGGGTTACTTCTGAGATGATGATGCCCTACTACAGCTAATCCTACCACATTGTGAGAATTCATTCCTCCACCTCCTGCCCACATCAGTAGGCAGCCCAGACAGGACTAGCAGTGCTCTTCCAACTATTGCATGCTGCTTCTGCTGGGCCTGCCTCACCTAGAGGTCTCTAATCTCTGTCCACTATTTATATCCATCACCAGAGAGAAGTCGCATGAGTTATTTTATCCAACATGCTAGCTGGGACCTGGCATTGAGCAAGACCTGGAGTTCCAGCATAGGTCAGGATTTGTTTTTTTTTTTTTTTTTTTTTTTTTTGGTTTGTTTTGTTTTTGCAGTCCTGGGGATTGAACACAGGTCAATTTTGATGACATATCCTAGAAAAAAGGTTCCAGATGGTCAGGGAGTGGCATGAGAGCAGGGAGAGAGGAGCTTTAAGGTGCAGATGGCAATAAAATATAAACTCTCTGCTTCTGAACTTAGCTTTAAACCTCTAAGCACTCATTTGTTTTCTCTCAGGTCTGAGGGTTGCTCCTGATCTGAAAAGCCACCCAGAAGTAGACTATGACTATTCAGAGACTTCAAGCTACTTTCCTGATGTCACTAAGAAAACTTGGTGAGTACTCTCCATCCACACCAGTTTCCTGTTGTGAACTCAGGTGATCCACTCTAACTCTTTACATTTTAGTGTCTCCCATATTATGTCACAATTGCCAAGTCTATGGATTATCTTTGTCGTTATACTTTGGTTGGGTCACTTCTAGATTTTCTAAAAATTAGGATGGTGAACACTAACTGGCAGTACAGCATTCCTACCCCTGTCCTGTTGGTGAATTGAAGAGAGTAGAGTCAAAACGTGTTTCCCATCCGATTCTCACATATCATTATCCTGTGAGCACAAGTCTTGATTCTACAAGGGCAACCTGAACACTGTCCTGTTTGGGGGGTTCTTGTCTAGTACTTGACTGCATTAGATCACAGCAGTGCTTTTCAATTGGGGGCAACCCATCCCTTGGTCCCACCACCAGCCATCTGGTACTGTCTGAAGCCATTGTTGGTGGTTAGTCACACCTGTGAAAGGAAGGGTCGTGGTAGAGGCATCTAGAAGGTAGCGACACTGCTAAGCATCCTGCAGCACATGTCAACAAACCTGGCATGGACTCTAGCTTCCTATTTACCCACAAGTATTTGTTAAAGCTAACTCAAAAGGAGTGGAGCCAGCCTGCCCAGGGCTCTAGTGCACTATTTTCAGCACTCGTCTGAGCCACTAAGGTTACAGAAGTAACCTAATGGTTACTGTGAGCTCAGGTCATGACACCAAGCCTTGGAAACCTAAGGAACTCTTAGGCCTGTTCTTCTGGGAAAAGAGCTAACTGACCTTCTCCCAGAAGAGGTTCCCAGGTCACCAGGAGGAGGACACAGCTTCAGGAAAAGAGTGGACTATGGAAAAGGGAAGGTCCAAAGGGAGAAGGAAGCTTGTCTTTTGTATTTTGCCCCAAATTGATTGTGGGAAACTTGATGAAGAGTTTAGTAAAGGATTTGTTGAAAGAAGTAGGTCATTACAGAGTTCTTTGCTTCTTTTCACAATGGAAAGAGAAGCTGTCATGGGTCACTTTTTTTTTTTAAGAGAGAGAGAGAGAGAAAATTTTTTAATATTTATTTTTCAGTTTTCGGTGGACACAACATCTTTATTTTTATATTTATATGGTGCTGAGGATCGAACCYAGCGCCCCATGCATGCCAGGTGAGCTCACTACCGCTTGAGCCATGTCCCCAGCCCGGTTCACATTTTTTTTAAAAAAAATCTTAATTTTTGGAGACTTTTTAGTAGTTTAGAGACTTGAAAAGTTAAACTCTCAACCCAGTCCTTCCCTAGTGGTCTCAAATTGCCATTGGACTACTTTTTGAAGTAGACTACTCTAGCTACTTGTCCAAATAGAATGGCTCAATCAAGGGTAGTTGAGGAAAACACTTAACAGTACCTATTAGAATAACAAAATTTAGAATTCCCATGTGGCAGAATGATCACTGAATTTGGTAGGTGGAAGACTTGGGTTCTGATCTTAGTGCTAACATTTTTGCATTTGTTTGACCTTGGACGAGTCAGTGAACCAATTTTGAAAACAACTTCAACCCCAGCTTAACTCCCCTCAGGCTGATAACAGATAACTTCACTGAGCATATCTGAGCTCTTTGCACTGCCCTTGCCTGCACCGTATGATCTTTCCTTTCCTTCAGCCATCCTTTGTTCCCATTTCCCAGACCACAAATCTTTCTGGCACTGTGTCCCTGCCCTTGAGATCAGCACTATAGGAAAATTCAGACCTGCCCTCTGAATGTACAATAACAGTCTAATGCAAATAAATGGGCAACAGACAGATAACCAGGAGAAAAGRCATACAAATTTATTAACATGCATGTGTGTGGGGGAGCCACACAAAATACGAAATGCAAAGAAAGCACAGATGCTTGAGACTTAAATACCCTCTTTGTGCAGGAGAGGGGACAGGGTCATTGGGCTGTGGGCAATTTTAGAAGAAGAATAAAGGATTCTTAGGGGAGAGGATAAGCCCAGAGTACAGACAGCGGCCTGAGTTGAAGTTCTTCTGGGTTCTAGGTGGGATATTTGAATTATCCATCTCTCCCTCTGATATATACGACTAATGAAATTTCAAGAAGAAGATTGGAGGCAATTGTGTTCCTCTTTGGTGGGTCCAGTCTTTAGGCAGATAGGCAACTGCAGAGAAATCTCTTATTGCATTTGCAGCTTCCCAGGTACTCCCAGTTAGAAGTCTAAGAGACATATTTGGGGTCCTGTTTGCTGAGCTCCAGCTGCACTCACCTTGCTTCTGGATCTTTCTGCTCTACTAGCTCTTTCCCTTTTGCTTAGGTCTGCTCCCACTCTAACAAAACCTCCTCTCAGCCCCGCCCCTCCCTTTTCCTACTTTTACCAGTGGACTTCAGGAGACTGACACCCAGATCTGCTGCATCATCCTTCACCAAACGGAGCCCTTGTTCCTTAATCCTGAAATCTGATTGGTGCCCCCACATCCCTGAAACCAGCCTCGGGAAGCTCTGCTCCCAGTTGCTAGAGCTTCATCTTCACTGACCCCTTGCAGCATTTAGCTCCATGAGCCAGATTTGCTTTGAATTGTCCTCTTCCACGTGAGTCTGCAGTATCGTATTCTTCAGGTTCTTCCTCAGAGACATCCCCAGTCTCTGCTTTCTCTGGCTCCATCCTCCTTCTTCTACCTACCATTGGAAGGCAGGCAGTTCTCCAGGTCCTGGGATCTCCTGTTTCTCTACTTGTCACCTGAGTGATGTCATCTCTTGATGCTATATTGTAGTATCAGGTCTCAGCTATGTGAGTTTGAGTCCCAGATCTCTATTCTCACCTCCACAGTGCCACACCCCACTCCTSCCAGACATGTATTCTTTTTAGTTGTAGATGGACACATACCTTTATTTTATTTTTATGTGGTGCTGAGGGTCAAACCCCATGCCTCACATGTACTAGGCAAGTGCTCTCCCATTGAGCCACAACCCCAGCCCAGACGTGTATTCTTAATTCCTGCACACCAGGCCTCAGTAGAAAGCCCCCACAAAAGCACCTACTCCTCCAGACCTTCCCACTTCTATGAGAGGCAAAAACACTGTCTTGTGATCTGGCCTTGAAACTTGACACTGTTTTCTTTTTGATCCCTACCTCTTACTTTACCCCACCTCCAACATCTTCTAAGCATCCTTCCCTGGTTCAGGTCTGCTATTACCTCTCATTCTTCCCTCTTTATGGACAAGCTTTCATTTCTGACATCTGATCAATTGTCCTACAACATATCCTGATTTGTTCAAAGAACTTTAATGGCTTCCCATTTTAGACCAAAAGAGGTTCAGACTTCCCAGTCTGTGGTGCCACACCTCTCACTTCCGACTCCAATTCATCCTCTGGGCTCACCTCCAATTTCTCCTCACATCCACTCTAGGGCTAACTGGAGTCAGTCTTACTGTTCTATCAACGCACCTGCTTCATTTCTCTCTGCCCATTCTTTTCTGTTCAACTCTTACCTTCTCATCCAAGTACATTGTCATGTCCTTTTTTCTTCCATGAAGACCTTACTTCTCTTTAATACTCCTTGAACTATAGCCAGCCTTTGGCTGAACTTGTGCCAAGTTAAATCAATCCACTGCCTTCTCCACCAACAAACCTTTGCTAYAAAAAAAATCAGCTCAACTAAACAATAAACTTAGTGATGAATTGATTTATGTTGGGCATGAGCTCCTTACGTCATTGTGAGTGGCGGCAGTTCAAAGACCGGCTTCAGAACACTTTGGTTTGTCTCTCTCTCTGGCGCTGTTCATATTTTGTCCAGCGTTGTGATTAACCATGTGATAAAAATTTAACTTTTCAAGGGCAATGATTGAATTTTATCCTTCCTTATATCCAATATCAGTATACACAGTAGGTACTCAGTAAGTTTATTGAATTGACTTCCAAGGCCATTCCTTATTTATTAGGAAAATGTTCTTCTTGCTCAATACAAGGGTGGTGGCAGCGACAAGAAGGTCCAGAATAGTTCATCGGATAGTGTGTTATGGCATCCCCACCCCAGGGGCAGGGTCCCCTCTGTTTGATCACTAACTCAGTGTTCTGTGGATCAACGTGAGAGTTAATGGGAAGGAATTCTTAGGCCAGGATAGAGGGCTCAGAGGGTAGGTAGGATAAGACAGCTGACTTATCCTAATGATGACGTCCTCGGTGGCAAGTAACACACTTCCAACCAAAGATTTAAGGACATGATCTCTGAAGACAGAAGTTCTGGGGCTGGCTTGCTTGGCCACTCAGGGATGTCGTCTAGGACACACGCCCCTTGCATCTCTGTTTTGCTGCTCTCTGCATGTCAGCAGTGCCCCTACTTACATCCACAAGGTGACTGAACCAACACTAAGCAGACTTCCTCACATGTCAGTGTCTGACAAGGGGAGGAAAAGCTGAATGGGAAAGAGGCTCTCCTCAGGAGCCTCTTTCTGGACTTTTCTACAAGTCCCCCAGGAGACTCTCATTGCATGTCACTAGCCAGAATTTGCAATGGTGGCCTTGCAGGGAGCTGCAGTGGAGTCCAGGAAAGAGAGTATTGGCATTTTCAGTGTCTACAGGAGAGAGTAGGCAAAGAGGAAGGGGATTAGAGAAGCAACGAACGATATGTGTTGTCAGAGTCCTGAGGGTACAGTGATGGGGCTGGACAGGTACCAGGGTAAGATGGAGGGAAGGGAAATCAGAGGAAGACTCAGCAAGGCAGACCCAGATATGACGAGGACTGCTGAGAATAGGAACAGGGGAGTGCTGAGGCCAACATTCAGATTCACCCAACCTTTATGGCTAGGCCAGGTCTTTTTCCAAGTTACCTCACATAATTCCTACACCAGTCTTTGGGTTGGCATTACCCACTCCATGTTATAGATGTGGAAACTGAACTTGGGGAGCTAACTAGCTCCCAGGTGCCCAGCAACAGAATGTGCGTGACCTTATGTTCATTCAACACTCAGGATGCAACAAAAGGAAGGAAGGAAGGAAGGAAATGGGGTAGTGCTGGGTTGGATGTGTCAGGTTTACCAAGT